GTCTGCATCCTCGGCCAGGTCAGCTTCGTCGTGTGACGTGGCGAAGCTGCGGTGGCCCTCGAAGAGCCTCTCGGGCAGTTTGTCAGCTTCCTGGTGCTCCTTGAAAAGGGGCAGAGTCAGCTTCTCGTAGAAGATGCAGTCACGTGATTTTTTTACCTCGTGTGTCGCGTAGTCCAGTACGATCCACGCCTTGAATTCTTTTTCGATTCCGAGATGGATGCCCCATCGTGCCCGGTCAGCAAATTTTCCCGTCCGCGCAGTATGGGGTCTGTACTGTACCATGCACCCGAACACCCGACGCAGGCGTGTATCTGCTTTTCTGCCCGTCCAAGCCCGGTAAGGAGAGTTGTTGTCCTTGAGGCTTCGCGAAGACAGCAAGTTGTGCAGCCGAACAGCGTGATTCATCGCAAATGGCCAATATCTGGTTGGGATGGCCGACTGCTTCATCAGAGCCCTCATCCGCGTGGCGAGGCTCCTGTTTGTCCGTTCTGCTACACCTTGCTGCTGGTGGGCGTAGGGCAGAGACACCAGGTGCTCGATCCCCTTCTGTTTGAAAAGCTCTTTGAACTCGTCCGAGAAGAACTCCAGGGCTCCGTCTGTCTGCCAGGCCTTTAGCTTTAGCCCAGACTGTCGCTCAGCCCGCTTCATCCACGCAATGAAGCATTCAAAGGCCAGTGATCTGCAGTCGGTATTGATGGCCCAGACGTAGCGCGTAGAAGCGTCGATGAAGGTGAGCGTGTATTGCTCCCCTTCAAGCCCTTGTTGACTGAGTACCATGAAGTCGCTGTAGACCTTATCCAGCGGTTTGTAGCGCTCGTACCCTGGTGGTAAGTCTGGGAATGGTTGGTGGTTGAGGGATGCAGTCGGGCAGACGATGCACGGCGGATTGGGAGAGTCCGCGGTGAGGGAACCGTCTCGGGGGAGGAGAAGTGTGTCGTCATCGAAGACTCCAGCCTTGAGCGAGTTTTTGAGCGTGGCGTGAGAGGGATGTCCAAGCCGTTGGTGCCATGTTGCTGGGTCCGCACGGTAGCAGACTGTATTTTGATAATATTTTTGCCGTGCTGCCTCGTCGTTTGCCTCCCCTTCAGGTCCTGCGTCAGCGGCGTTGTCCGTGTCGGCGGCGAGTGCGCGAATTGCTTTTCTCTCCAGAAGCGCGCGGGGAATACCGATGATGTCGTCGGTATCGCCAGCTTCGGCTTGGTCTCCGGTGACAAGTAGGCATCGATCGGGCCAGTCCCGAGCGGGGAGTCCCGACATGGGGATCCTGTAGTAACTGTATTCAGCACCAATGACTTCAATTTCTTGGGGTCCTTGTTCCGGCGGCTCCGGCTCCTCGGTAGGTTCAGGTAATTCCGCTGGTCCCCCCATGAATTCGTAGGTCTCTTCTTCCTCTGACTCTTCTGGCATTGGTTCGGGTGTGTCAGGGGCGTACTGATCCGGAAGAGGAGGACCTCCCCAGCAGGTGCCGCGAGTTGCCCAGTACGGGTCGACGATGGCGACTTCCGCGGGAGGAAGGCCGGCTGCTACGGCGTGCCCTTGTTCCGCTTCGCCCGAAGTGCCCCAGCCTCCTCCGGCGCCCCACGTGTCTCCGGTTGTCCTTGCTTCTCCGACTGCTGCGTCTTTGACTTCTGCGCCAACTTCCCCAGATGGGGCAGGAGGAGTCCAGCCGGTGCCACCTTCCTCGGCTGGGGCAGGGGGAGTTCCCCAGCCAGTTGCGGCAATTTCTTTCGTTGCGACGGCACCCCATTTTGTGGCCGCTTCCTCTGGAGTCAGGACTTCGCCCCAAGATCCAAGCGCGGGTCCGGAAGTGTCCCAGCCTGTCCAGCGCGTTTCCGCCGGCGTGTTTTCCTCGGCAGGTTGTGTTGCAGGGCCTGACGTGCCACTGTCTTCCTCCATTGTGGCAGGTCCGGTCTCAGCAGGATTCGAGGTCGAGGCGGTCGGGACAGTGCGCAAGCGCAGAAGGCCGTCAGAGGCGGGTCGCTCGAGGTCCATCTCGTCGGGATGTGACCACGTTGGCGCCTCCGTGGGAGTCGTTTTTAGGAGCAGCGTGTGGTGGGAATTGTTGTGCCCTGAGCCGAGAACTGCAGCACGAAGACTCCGTCGTCGTCGATCGCCTTTCCGATGTAAGAGTCATCATAAAAGAGCTCGAAGGTCTTCTCCGTGCGGTTGCTGCGAAAATCGATTCCGCATCGCATGAGTTGAGCTGACGAGAGCAGGTTGTATTGGAGATCTGGCGCGACGAGGACGTCTCCGATGTGAATGGTAAATTTCGTGTCATTCGCCTCGAGGTAGATCTCCCCAATCTCATGTGCCTTCATTTTTCCGTTGTTGGCGGCGGTGATTTCGCAGGGTCGTCGCATGCGCCGAGAGTTGCTGATGAACTTTGATGATCCCACCATGTGTTGCCCGCAGCAACTGTCGAGGTACCAGGTGTCCAGATCCTCGTGGCGCTGGCGGGCAAGGTTGGCGATCTTGGGCGTAATGATGCGATCGAAGTCGCCGGTGTACGGCGAGAGAGCGAAATATCTACTTGCGGGAATGCTCGGCGGCGATTCCGGAGTAGGAGGAGGAAGCTCGAAGTCAGGAGGGATGTCTGAAGGGCGAGTCGACCAGGTAAAGACCGTTGGGTCGTTATCTGAGCTGGGCGCAACGGGGGTGGGGTTGTCGGAAGGGAATGAAATTCGATCCCGATCCCAGTAGCGGAACCCTCTGCTGCGGCGAGCCATGCAGCTTATGATCGTCCCTTTCCCTTTGTCCTTTGCCGAAATGACCGCAGGGGACTGAGAAGTACTGGCGACCGAGGGAGGCGACACAGTGGAGGTTGCGGCAGAAGGCTTGGATTGAGCTGAGGGTTGCTGGTTGGAGGCGTTGCGCCGTTCATCAGCAGCCTGACGCTTGTAGCACTGGTCGATGGAGTGGCCAGACTTCTTGCAGTATTTGCAGAAAGCTCCCTTCTTTCCGCGTTGCTCCCCTTGGGATCCTCCTGTGTAGAAGGCTAATTTTTCCCGCTTGACGTTCTTCTCGTTGTACAGGTCGATCTCCTTCTGCTCCGAAAGAAGCGTGGCGCACAGAGCCGACTCCGATATGGTTGCTCGGGCGCGAAGGAGTGACTGGCACTGACGCCAGTCGGGGCCAAGGCCTGAAATGACCATTGAGATGAACATGTCGTCGGGGACAGAACCACCGCACTTCTTGACTTGATCGCGCAGATTGCGGCACCGATTAACATACGGTCCCGCTTTCTCCCCTTGCTTCATTTTAACCGAAGTTAGTTGACTGAGCAGGCGACTCATAGTGACTGGATCTGTTGCCATGTATGAGTTGCGCAGGTGTTCCCAGGATGCGTGCGCGGGAGCCCACTCCGTCTTGTACGGACGAATGCCGAGCTGCTCTTCAGGTGAGAGATTGCGAAGGAGAGCGGTGTACGCGAGAAGTGATTCGTGGTAGTACTGATGCTTCTCCTGGATGGTGCCTTCCGAGGGAAAGGGCAGACTTCCGTCGTAGTACATCCAGATCTGAGCGGTTGTCGCAAGAAGCTCGAATTCGAAACTCCACGTGTAAAAATCCTTTCCGTCGAAAGGAATTGAGGTCTTCAATTTTGAAGTCAGTACAAATTTGGTTTGCATTGAAGCGATGTCTTGTGCAGGAGCTGACCCTTGACGATTGTCAAAGGTGAAGGATCTCTCGGAGTTGACGCGGCGGTCTTCTCCAGGGAGAGGAAGTCCAGCAACGCCACGTGCATAGCTTGAGCCATCAATGCTCATAGCCTGATGGCTTTCAAGAGCGTTGATGCGTGCGACTAGCTGCTCAACGACAGCGGCGTTGACGGAGGTCACCGCTGATGGCGCGTTAGTAGTTGCTGGTGGTGGGCCCGGTGAGTCTGCAGTAGCTTTCCCTTCAGGAGCCATAGTGTTGCAGACCTTAAGATGTGATAATTGATTTTATGAAAGGATTGTTCTAGGAAGAACGAGGGCTTGACAGATCCTATAATCCACTCTAGCTCTCATACCTTGCTGAATACAACCAAAGGATCAGTGGACAGGATAGGATGTGTTAAGCCTGAAAGGAGACAGTGAAGTCTCTGTAGTGACCTTGTTGAATAATAGTTGTAAGAGAACAAGATGATTAGAGAGTAGGAGTACAAGAAATTAAATAGCAAACTATCTAGCCATGTACTCTGAGGGGTACATTCCCTTATTAACTGTATTACATAGCTACAGTAACCACGACTATTGCTATTCTTGACAGTTACCGTGTTGCAGTCTGTTAACTGTCGCGCGGTTACTGGATCGTCAAGGGTCACGACCGTTGACTATCTTAGACGGTTGACCTTCGGGTGACCCTCGAGATTCCGCGTGCTCTATATGAGCTAATGCGGTACTAGTACAGTGGAGCAACTTCGGGAATGCCTTTATAACCTTTCGGCTATTCCAACAGGTAGGAAAGCTGGTTGGACTTTGACAAAACTTAAGGTAGGAAGGCTGGTTGGACTTTGTAACCCAACCAAAGGTAGGAAGGATGAGGCAACTACGGGAAGCTTGGGATTCCGCTTTTAAGGGTGACTTGGAGTGCATTCCAGGAGATATTGCAGGCTTTGCATACCTCTGCCTGATTGTGAGGGATAACCTGGTCCGCACCACACAATTCCCCCTCCCCACAGAACTTCAACTTTCCACCCACCACCACCCTCTCCTGTCCACCAGGTAGTGTCCACCTTTAAAGTTTGAAAGCAGGCTGACTTGGGAAGAGAGTGCTTGCATTGCTCTGCATGGTTCAACGCATAGCCTGGCAGCAGTTCCGTTGGCCCGAAGCAATGGACGAACACCTTTGAAAACCTTTGACCCTTTGCGGCGGCGGATTGAGCATGACAAGTTGATTTGGTATGCCGGCGCTTGGATTACTATGCCAGTTCAACTGTCGCAGCTGAGGCAAGCTGATCCAACCTCTCAGCTTCAGCCACCGAAGCTATATGTTTTTGAAAAGGGGAAACGAATGTTACACTAGGAGATGAGGCATGCTCTAAAGAGGACGGAAACGCCCGGCTGCTGCTGCTGCTGCTCGTGGAGTGCTGACGACCCGCAGACCCGCCCAGACGACCACTCAGTGACCCGCCCAGAGCATACGTCGGCTCCAGTTTCCCACTCCTTGTGCCTCGAGTTTCCCGCCCACAATCTCTGCTGCAGCTCTCATTCGTCAGTCGCGCGATTTCACTGCGATCTCGCACCTCGATGCTACGGCGGCGCGCTTGATTTGATTGCGCTTCCCCTTCCACCAACGGATTTAGGGCTGGCGCTTGCGAACCCGACACCGACTGAGCCGAAATGTGCGGGCTGGTCCATCCTCTAGGGTTCCGATTATGTTGGTAGTGCTGGAACAGGTCAACACGGTCAACGCCCGCGTGCGGAGACACGAGCGGACTCGCCTGCGATGCGCCGGGGTGGGGGCTCGTGAGCGGACTCACGTTGGCCCTGCGCGCGACACGGCCACCTCTTGGCGTTACAGCGCACGAGCCGAACCCCTCCCTCGAACCACCACCGTTCCAATCGTCGTCAATCTCACCCGCGTCGCGCCCATCGTAACTGGCTCCGCTCGGAATTCTCCGATGTCCTTCCGCCGGCGTCTTTACGCCGGCCCCAGACTCCCCGCCGCTTGCGCTTCCACGCCGCCTCTGCCCTCCCTGGCCTCTCCTGCTGCTGTCGTTCCAGATTTCCGTCAAATCGTCCGTCGAACGGCTCGCCAAATCCTCGCTCGGCCGTCCCCGAAAAGACCCTTTTCGATGCGAACCCCCACTGGGGGTACGAACGGACACACCCCGGCAAAGACTCTCTGGCGTAAACGCTTCCGGAATAGATGCTTCTGGATAAGCCTGTCCGCCGCCCGCTCTGACGTCAATCGCGAACGCTAAATCTGGATATGGCGCACGAAGCTTCGGCTGCGTCGACGAGCGTCGAGAGAAACCGCCCCCGCCGATCGCGCTGCTGCTTTCCGTTAGATCCTGATGGAAACCCGGGAAATCCGACGGCTGGGAGAACGTCCGCCGCGATCGTGGCTTCGGAACCATGTGCATCGTGGCGTTCCGCGACAGGGGGGACCTAGCAGGGGCGCAGCCACCTCCGCCGCCGCCGCCGCCGCGAGAGAAAGCGGCCGGCGACCGGCTCGGCGGCAGCGGTCCAGACCGAAACGCCACGGCGTATAGATCTTCCGGGTATGAAATATAGTCGTCCCCCCCAGCTCCTTCCCACGCGCTCCTCCTGCTGCTTCCGCCGAACCCGCCGGTTCCGCCGCTAATGCTTGCGCGACGAGCACTCTTACTCGAAGAAGCGGGGAGAACCGCGGCGCCGTAGAGATCTCCCTCCGCCACTGAGTCGTCCTCCTCGCCGCCGTATAGGTCTGCCATCAAGCGACTCAGTCCTGCGGAAACGGGCGGCGCAGGACGCCCCGCGGCAGCCGCCGGGGAACAGGGCTCCGCTGCCGGCGCAAGCTTGAGCGCATGCTGCTCAGGAGTGGTGGTTTCAGTAACAGTGCCGTCGCCTATCCACTCGCTTCCCCGCTGGCCTGTGAGCGAGCGCCGAGACCCGAACCTTCGAGAATGCGCGGAATGGGCATCGAGCGGCACGGTTTTGGCGCGACGCGAGCCGAATTCGCCATCGTCGCCCGTTAAAGATCTTTCTGGGCAAGTTTGCGTTCCGTCAGGCGAGCCGCGCCTGCCCGCAACTGGCTCATTCGCGGGAGAAGGTTCTTCTGATTCGAGATTGGGCAGGTCGAATGAGGATAAGTCGGCGGAAGAACGGCTGCTTGGGCCACGCGGGTGGGAGTTACTAGGGGAGGATAACGCCACGTCGGACGCATGTTTCACCGCGTTGACTTCGCCTGCAGCGACAGTATCGGAGGCAACGACATCTGGAACGTCAATAGGAGCTTCACGGAAGTAGATTTTGGGAAGGCTGTCGGCGCGGAAGCCGCGGGGAGCGCGAAGGGAAAAGCAGGTAACTTCCTCGCCGCAGCTGCGGTTGGACTGTCTGCGCGACCGGCCTAATCCGCCTAAATTGACCCACTTTTTCGCCATGTCCATTGGGATCGGAGGATTGCTAGGCTACGTCTAACTTTTTCTTCGCTATGTTTCACCTAGGTTATTGCTGAATACGGAATGAAGCGGCCGAAACACGTCGCATCACTTGTATATTGGAGATAGAGAAGAAGATTCTTCCGAGGTTGCTGTCGTAAGAATCTGATGAGTTTGTGACGGTTTAGGGGAAAAGCGATCAGCGTACAGTACGGCGCAATGGAAGGCGTAATCACAGATTATTGTGCATTCATGAACCGTGAGTCTGAGATGCTGTGGCTCGCTCGGTGAAGACCAAAATGCATAATTGAGGCCATGGCCAGAAGTTGGGTTTGTTGTGGGTCTCCACGTTTCGCTTCTGCAGTTGGTCTTCAGGTTTCCGAATGCTGAGAGGAGGACCATGGAGGAGTGCCCGTTGCTGGAGGTCAAGAATATTGAGGTGCCCGAAAAGCAGAACCAATGAACTAGAAAAAGGCGAGGCCAATGCAAAGGCGTCGCGTCTCTGCTGGTTTGTGCTAATGTGGTAAATTGAGCGTTCCGACGGTTTAATTTTTTCCTTATAAGCACAGCTGAGGAGGCCGCTTGACCATCCAGAGTCGCTGTCTGCGAAAATTTTACACTTAGTTTGACCTATTTAGGGACGGGCACCCAAAGGAAAATTGATCCAAACCGAATGTTTGAGATGTTTGGTTTTCCATTCAACACCACTCGTGGTCGTGACAAGACACCCACACCATCCACGCATTGAAGAAGAAAGCATGCGCATGATTTCTGAAACTGATTGGTGGCTGGTGTTCAGAGTTCCTCTGACACACTTCAGTGTGATCGTCACGGACCACAGGCTCCTTCAGGGTTTTCTCCTTCCAGACTGGTTCCTGGAGGAGCAAGGGTAGAGCTACAGCGTGTCGTTATCAACGGCTGCCAGGTAGCCTGAAACCGATGTTCAGCTTCCCGTTTCCAGCTCAGCTACAGCACACGCTACTCAAGACACTGTACGCATTGCCAGAAAGAAGAATGAGTGTGGGAGTCAAATATTAGTACACCTGATGCCCACTACAGTCAACCTGATGCGTCCACATGGTACTTGATTTAACATGTGATGCTTTTAGTGAGCGCTCGTCAACCTTGCCACGGCAAAAATGGGCTAGTAAGAATAGGGTACATTCCTGGCCCTTGTCACAAAAACCTCGCATTAACGAGGCGAAGTACAGTGTGTTTGACATATTTTTTCGCTAGTTGTAATGCGTTGCAGACCTGCATACTGCTTTTGTGATGCCACCTTCTGTGACGCCTCGCACAAGGAAGTAACCCTTATTGCCTCCGTTGCGCATGGAAAGCTTGAAGCTTTCGTTGTGCTTGCATTATCTGTGTATTAGTATGGAAAGCGGGGAAGCGGGGTGGCGGGGGAGGCGTTTGGTGGTGATAAGAAAAAATGCTTTCAAGGATACTGGAACAACAGGAACAACAGGGCACGGAAACAAAACAACGGCGAGTAAAGAACACCGAAAGCTCACAGGTAGTAAATAGAGATCACATTCTGTTGTTGAGTGATGAGGGGAGGCGAGAGGATGGGCTAACGGGATATCAAAGAAGGTAAAACAGGACGAAATGAGGGGTCGACCAAGCATGAGCTGCGGCATTATGCGAACGATAGTGGTGTGGGGTGAGGAGTGAGGGGTAAGGGGTTGCAAACTATAGTTTTGGTGAGGACTTCCCTTTGCAGTGCGAGCTTATAAATGCTAAAGGGTGCTGTCTATACGGGGGATAAAAGATGGAAAGATGGGACAGTATAGGCCACTCACGTCCTGCTGTTTCAATGCCTGCTTCTGCTCCAGTTGCTTCAGTGCCCCCTCCAACCGCTTACTGCAAAGGAATGTATTTAAATGTATGCAGATGCATGCAGATGTATGGAAATGCATTCAGATATGTGTAGATGTATGTATATATATATATATAATTCCGTGCGAATGAACGGACATGGCATGATGACATGGCATGGTGAAATGGCATGGTGAGATGGCATGGCCACAAAGCATGCGTCACAAACAGCAACTCACACAAATGCCAGGCACAGCGCAGCAGCCCTTCGCCCATTCCCTCCCGCCTCCCGCTCCACACACACGCACACACGCACGCACGCACGCACACTCATACTTCACTGAAAATATGCTTAAGCCTCTTCCCCATGTTGGCCCGAACCAGGCCTCTCCCAGGTCTCGGGGCACAAGCACCCTCCCACCCACGCCCTGGCCTCACACCCAAATGGCATGGACAGAAGCACCCACACACCTTCACACGCACACTCACACTTCACTGGAGATGTGTTCCAAACTCCGATGTTTGCCCGCGCCTCTGCCAGGTCTTGCCGCACGAGCGGCCACCCAACACAACCTGGCCTCACACTGATGGCATGTACTCACACACACTCAAACGCAGCACTCACACTTCACTGGAGATGTACTCAAGCCGCTTCCCCATGTTCGCCCGCTCTTCTGCCATGTCTTGCGGCACGAGCACCCACACACACAATTGCCATGCACAGCACCGCCTCCCCCACCTCTCCCCCTCCCCCCCCACTCCCCCGTCGCCCCCAACACTCACACTTCACTGGATATGTACTCCAACCGCTTCCCCACGTTGGCCCGCGCCTCTGCCAGGTCTTGCGGCACACTCAGCCACTCCTCCTCCCTTCCCCCACCCTCTCCCCCCTTTCCTCCCCCCACTCCCCCCCCACCACCAACACTCACACTTCACTGGAGATGTACTCAAGCCGCTTCCCCACGTTGGCCCGCGCCTCTGCCAGGTCTTGCAGCACGAGCACGGGGCCGATGAGCTTGAAGACCTTGGCGTCCTCCTCTAGTAAATCCAGCTCCTGCAGGGAGAGGGAGGGAAGAAAAGAAATAAGACGAGAAGCGCAGGGGGGTAGAAGGGTCTTGCGGCACGAGCAAGGGGCCGATCAGCTTGAACACCTTTGCATCCTCCTCTAGTAGATCCAACTCCTGGCAAGGAAAGGGAGGGAAGAAGACGAAATAAGAGGAGAAGCACGGGGGGGGGGGGGAGGAGAACGGTCTTGAGGCACAAGCACAGGGCCAATGAGCTTGAACACCCTGGCGTCTCCTCTAGTAAGTCCAGCTCCTGAAGGGGAGAGGCGAAGGAGGGGTAGGGCGGCAGGGAACGGGGGAAGGGGTTAACTGCGGTTGATACCATGTCCCATCATGACCACCGCGTGATCATATTCGTCCAACATGATCACATTAGAATCGCATTCCACTATTATCACGTCCTGCTACAGTCCCAACACCACAATCCGTTACAGTCACACCTTGTGCACCATCTCGCCAACTTTAAGCCGCAAGCTGCAGCACATCGTGCGTACCGCTTCCGCACTGATCACCCATTATAATCACATCCCGCTGTCACCACATCCCGTCCCATTCCGCTACAGTCACACGCACCTTCTGCACCATCTCGTTCTCGTTCAGCTGCAGGCTGTACTGCCGCCGCACCTTGTGGTTGCGCGTGATATCTAATACCAGGAGTAGGGGGGGAGGAAATGAGTGGGAGCGGGGAGGTGGGGTGATAGATGTCTTCTCAACACGCCTTAGCTGCAGGCTGTACTGCCGCCGCACCTTGTGGTTGCGCGCTACGTCTGATACGGGGTAAGCGAATGAGATGGGGAGGAGAAGGGTTAGTGGGGGAGGGGGGGGGGAAGGAAGTGAGGGGGGAGCGTAGAGAAGGGGGGGTTGCTAGAGGTGTTTCCTCGAGGGGGAGAAAGGAAGGGGAGGCGGGGGAAATGGGGAGGGGGAGGGGGAAGAACGAAGGGGTTGGGAAGCGGGTGCTATAGGTGGGTTCTGCAGCTGCAGGCCGTAGCGGCTGAAGGGGGTGGGAAGCGGGTGCAGGTGCAGGCCGTAGCGGAGCCGCACCTTGTGGTTCCGCGAGATGTCTGCGCGCGACAGGGGAGGGCGGGGAAAGGGCGAGAGTTGGCGGGGAAGGAAGTGGACGGGGGGGAGACGGGAGAGAGGGGGGACGCGGGAGAAGGGAAGGGCGGGGGGTAGAAAGATGGCGGGAGGGAGCTGAGTGCTATGCCGAATCTTGCTGCATTTCATTCCGCGTGTCGTCTGTGAAGAAGACAAGACGAGCCACGGGAATCTCCTTGATTGAAATAAACTAAAATAGAATGCTGATCTACGCTCGAAACTCAATCAGAGACCGGAAAACGGCGAGCCGGATCGTTTTGTTCCGGATTGCCACGCGATAATCAGAGGGACCAGCATAAATTTTCGAGATCTTCGCGCTTACCCTTCTCGAGGGACCGAAGCGCGTTCACTTCTGCCTCCAGCTGCTGCTGCAACTCTCGCAGCGCCGCCGCCATGATCCTCCCGCAACGTTCACGAGCAGATTCAACAACGACCGCTCCTTCGCTTCCGTCGCAAAGTCTGCTGCGAAAAAATCAGCAAGCGCTATTCGCGAATATGTCGCTGAACAGGGAGTGGATGGAGGGGACGTTGACTGAGATCGTGAAACGAAGGAGCTCCTACCTCGATACAGGGTACTTTGTTTATGGATGGCAGTGTCTAGAGATTAGTTTAATTACGGATGGATGGGTGATAGAGGTTCCAGAACGGTGCAAACACGTTCTCTGTAGCACAGGATTGCAGTGGAGGACTTCGTTTCGGATGTGACGAATGTCGCAGAAAAATGTGTTGCCGCTTCGCTAATAGTAACTCCGAAGCTCTCTAGGTATTCGCAAGCCGCAAAGATTCGTTGTCGCGAACCGATGAGAAGGTAACCACAAAGGTGCGTCAAGCAGCAAGGCCCAACAACTCGAAAAAAGAAGCCATGGCCGAAAGACTTTCATGGGGCACGGTAGCCATGGCTTGCTGATTCATCCCACACGCACTTCAGCTGATCTCGTGATTCAGCCGTACCACCGATGTGCTGGGTCGTTCGTCCCACGATCCCATCTCTCTGATCCCAATTCGTCTCTCGCATCGAGAAAGTAATCCGTCGATCTATTCCATTCCTCGCCCTGAATCCTCGCCCTGAATCCTCGCCGTAACTCATTCTTCGCCTGGATGCCATCCTCACTCTGGTAATCCGGCGGGACGGGCTTAGCTAATCTGCGGCGGCGAAAGGCGCAAGGGTGTGCGCGGCCAACCACAGCGGATGAGGCGCATGGCGTTTTTGAGAATTCTAAAAAACATCTTCAGATGACTAATTAAACAACCCGAAGGTCGTTCCGGCCATGGATCGTCGCGCCGCTAGTGCCTTTTTGACTACGCTAGTTTACCTATTTAGTCTTTCCACTGTTCTCATGCAAGTATTGATATAGTTCTAGGTGTAGATTACAGTCTGAGCCAGTTCCACCACATTCGAGCGCGTTTCAGCCATGAATCCCGCACCGTTGGGTCGAGTCGCGAACCGGCCGGCAGCGCTGGGTCGCGTGGGGCGAATCCGGCTGCTGCTGGTGGCTCTGGGCGGCGCGATGCTCCTCTCCGGCCTCCGATTCGTCAATCGCACGACCAACCTCGTCGCGCCTGCCAGCGACGAATTCGCGAATTTTACGAGTTTTGGCGAGCGGTTGCGCGACGATTCTTCGCGACCCGCGTCGTTGTCGTCGCCAGTCGCGTCCTCTTCCTCCTCCACTAATATCCCTTCCGATACTAGCACATCTTCCTCGTCCTCGTCCTCCCCCACCTCGTTACTCAACACGCCCTCGTTACAGTCACAACCAACCGCAGCCGTTCCAACCACTCCGAATTCCTCTCAACCAGATCAATTCCCAGCCGTCCGATCGCCAGAAAACGGCTTCCAGATCCCAGGAATGGCAGTCCGCCCTCCTCCGTCAAAAGATAACACACAAGACGCCGGTAGCAACCAGGGTGGTAACCAGAGTGGTAACCCGACTGGTAACCAGGCCGAAACGGCAGAGGACCCGGTATTGGCGCTGCAGCGGGCGGTGAAGCCAGAGGGAATCAAGTGGCCGCTGCTGGCCGTCACGCCCACACACGCGCGCGCCATGCAGGTGGGTGGGATCGTCGTCCCGTTATAGGACGCCTCAGAGCAACCATTCTGGTTGCCAACCCACCTTATGCAACCCTGTGCTGCTCTGCTGGCCCTGCGTCTCCCTGTCAGGCCGTTCCCGTCCCTCTTTCCTTACACTCCCTTCAACCCCTTCCCCTCCCTTCCCCATCCTTGCCCCCACTCCCGCTAGGTGGTCCACTTCATCCGCCTGCCCGCCTATCTGCTTTTTTTTGGCAGCCAGCCAATCCCATTCCCCCCCTTCCCCTTCCCCTCTCCCCTTCCCCTTCCCCTCCGCGCTGTCCCCCCCACCAGGTGGTCCACTTCATCCGCCTGACCGCCTATCTGCGCTCGCTGGGACCGCTGGTGTGCCTCTCTCTTACCCCTCCATCTCCCCTTCCGTTTCCTTACCTCCCATTCCCTTCCCCCCTTCCCCCCCCCCTACCAGGTGGTCTACTTCATCCGCCTGGCAGCCTATCTGCGCTCGCTGGGACCGCTGCTGTCAATCCCCCCTTACCCCTCCCCTCTCCACTTCCGCTTTCCCCCCAATCCCCCTCCCCCTCCCCCTCCCTCTCCCCCTCCTTCCTTACCCTCCCCCTCCCCCTCCCCTCCCCTCCCCCTCCCCCTCCCCTCCCCCCCCCCCCCTCCCCCTCACCCCCCCCCTCCCCCCTACCAGGTGGTCTACTTCATCCGCCTGGCTGCCTATCTGCGCTCGCTGGGACCCTTGGTGCTCTGGATTGTCATAGAGGCGCCTCTTAAGGTACAGTCTTGACATGAGTTTCCAGGCAAGCGAAAAATAGCAGGAATACGGAGAGTTTGTGTTGCTTGTTTAAAATTATTTGTTTTGGATGCGTGCTTTTTTTTTTTGGGTGGGGAAAGGAGGGATGAGGGGAGGGGGGGAGAGGGGGATTGGTCTGTGTGTGTGTATGTGTGTGTGTTTTTCTCTTCTTACAGAAAGTTTGTTGAAGGAGCTCACACATTTTCAAGAATCCGTTTCTTTCTTTCTTTCTTTCTTTCTTTCTTTCTTTCTTTCTTTCTTTCTTTCTTTCTTTCTTTTTTTTTTTTTTGTTCTAATGCTCCAGTTTCTCTGGATGACACTAGAATTATCTTTTCTCACCCAGTCAAAATCTTCAATCAACTACTCTGATCTTCCTGTGTGCCTCCCCAGGACAACAGACGGGGCAGCACAGCTGTAGATGTTGCATGCTGAGTGCCTTTAAGTCCGCTTACAAGGCAATCCACCTCCTTAGCAGCCTCTCCACCCCTCTCCACTCCTGTCCACCCTCTCAGCTCCCCTCTAACCCCTTTCCACCCCTCTCCACTCCTGTCCACCCTCTCAGCTCCCTCTAACCCCTTTCCGCCCCTCTCCACCCTCCCTCATGCCTCCCCGGGAAGACAGAGGAGACGGCGGAGCTGCTGAGGCAGCACGCGGGGGCGTGCCTGCCAGCTGGCGAGCCGAGCTGTCGGCGAATCAACTACGTCCACCTGGAGACCCGCCGGGTGAGGGGCGTGTGAGCAGCGTTTGAGCTGCGCTTCTGTTCCATCTTGGGATTTGTGTGTGCGCGCGCGTGTGTGTGTGGCGACACTAGCTGTCGGCGAATCAACTACGTCCACCTGGAGACCCGCCGGGTGAGAGGCGTGTGAGCTGCGTGTTTTTCGGTTTTGTTCAACATTACGTTCTGTTGTTTTCTTGCAAGGAAGGGAAGTAGGGGGATGTGGGGGCGGGCATGTACACACACGTTCCGTTTCATTGATAACCAGCCTATCACTTGAATGGCTTTTGAGGCGCCCCAAAAGCCGTTTCGTTGATAACCAGCCATCGTGACGATAATCACTTGAATGATTCCGTTCATCATCGTCATTGTTCCATTCCAATCCATTCCGTTCTGTTCCATTCCATGCTCCTTTAGATGGAGACGTCCAAGTGGAGCAAGGCAGTGCCGCAACATCAAAGCTTTCCGTTTGCATCATCATAATCCATTTCATTCCACTGCATCGTTTTACTACATGCATCAACACCACCAGGTGGAGACGTCCCAGTGGAACAAGGCAGTGCTGCAGCGCAACGCTGCCCTTGACTTCTTTTTCCTGCATGATCCCTAATGCTGTATAGTCATCACCACCAGTTGTCTCTCGTCCTTCTATCCCACTGCGTGCACACACCATCAGGTGGAGACGTCCCAGTGGAACAAGGCAGTGCTGCAGCGCAATGCTGCGCTTGACTTGATTGCTGCTGCATGATTTCAGGTGTTGCATCATCATCCGATGTGTGTCATCCACCCACTCCATCGCATCATCACCTCACCATCATCATTACCATCAGATGGAGACATCAAAGTGGAACAAGGCAGTGCTGCAGCGCAACGCCGCGCTCGACTTCATTCAGGAGAGGCGCATTCAGGGCGTCGTTTACTTCATGGATGATGACAATGCGTACCTCCCTCAGGTGATCGTACTGCCTTGTTTTTCGCCCTTGCATGCGAGGGTGCACCCTCAAGAGGAGAGGCGCATTCAGGGCGTCGTTTGCTTTATGGATGATGACAACGCTTACCTTCCTCAGGTGTGGTTGACTTGTGTACTGCTAGCTGTGATCATACTGCCATGCGTCTTAAGAGGAGAGGCGCATTCAGGGCGTTGTGTATTTCATGGATGATGACAACGCGTACCTTCCTCAGGTGATACTCCCTGAGGTCTACTGAGGTGCTCTGGTGAGGTGCTCTGGTGAGTCGATTCAAAAGCCGCATGCTGACTTCATTCAGGAGAGGCGCATTCAGGGCGTCGTGTATTTCATGGATGATGACAATGCGTACCTCCCTCAGGTAAGTTGCATGTGAGGGTGCGTCGTCAAGAGGATAGGCGCATTCAGGGCGTCGTTTACTTCGTGGATGATGACAACGCTTCTCTTCCTCAGGTAAGTGTAACTTGTACTGCTACGTGTCTCGCCCCTGCATGTGATGGGATGGGGAGTGTCCGCAAGAGGAGAGGCGCATTCAGGGCGTCGTTTACTTCGTGGATGATGGCAATGCGTACCTCCCTCAGGTGGGGCTGTACAAAGGAATGACTGTAATGCGGCTCATATGAAGTGAGTGGACTACAAAGTGGTTGCTTCTGCGGAGATGTTACCCCTTCATCAATGTTTTTTGTTTTATCCTGTTCTATATTATTGTCAGCAGGAGAGTTTCAATGCTGCTAGCTGAGTTATGCCCGGTTAAATTCGATTTGACAACCCTTTTTTATTCCTATTCCACAGCCCTTTTTGTTACCCTTACACGCAGTTCCACCTCCTTTGTCAATCCCCTCGCATCTTTTCTTCCCTTTTGCCTTTTCACAAAACCAGCACTTTCTCAAGTTCCAGAACTTTTTTCTCATGATTTTTATTCATTTTACTCCTGTTGCTTTCCCATGCTTTCCCACCAACCCAGCTATTCCTTGAGTTTCAGAGCATCCAGAACGTGGGTGTTTTCCCTGTCGGCTTTCTCTACCCGGACGAGTACTCGAGGCGAAACAGGCATATACACCACACGCCCATGGTAGAGAGGCCGCTTGTAAGGAGGACGGAGAACGGGAGCCTGCAGGTGTACGGGTGGGAGACGTTCGAGTGGTTCATTTCAATGGCAAAGAGGAAATTCAACGTTGACATGGGGGGATTCGCGTTCCGGTGAGTACGATTTATGAATGGTAGAAAGGCTGCTTGTAATAGGGATGGATGGAGAGGGAGTTTGCAGGTGTATGAGTGGGTGGGAGACGTTTGAGTGGTTCATCTCAAAGGCCAAGCGGAAATTGAACGTTGACATGGGAGGGTTTGCGTTCCGGTGAGTTTTACGCATCAAAATTATGCTGCTTGTAATGTGAATGGATGGGGATGGAGTGGAGGAGGGGGAGGAGAGGCCTGGGGGGGGGGAGAGGGGGGCTTGCAGGTGTACGGATGGGAGACGTTCGAGTGGTTTATTTCAATGGCAAAGAGGAAATTCAACGTTGACATGGGAGGGTTTGCGTTCCGGTGAGTTTTTTGAATGGTAAAGAGGCTGCTTGTAATGGGGATGGATGGGGATGGGAGCGGGAGCCTGCAGGTGTATGGGTGGGAGGCGTTTGCGTGGTGTCATTTCCAAGGCCAAGCGGAAATTTCATGGGGGCATGGCATGGGTGCGTGCGTGCGTGCGTGCATGTATTCACGTATGGAGTAAGGCACTTCCCTCTTCCCCCACCCCCCAACCTCCACCCCCCTGAACCACTTCACCTCTGCTCCTCCGTCCCCACTTCTACCCTGCAAGCAGCTCTGAGCTGCTCTGGCAGAACCGCACAGACCTGCCGGGCTACCCACACCACCCTGTGCACACCTTTTCCCTTATGCCCCCCCCGCCCTCATCCCCCCCTTCTTTCCCTCTTCCCCCCATGATCTCCCCAGCTCTTAGTTGCTCTGGCAGAACCGCACAGACCTACCGGGCTACCCGCACCACCTGCTCCACTCTTGCACACACTTTTTCTCATTCCCCCCCCCCCCCTCCCCCCCTCGCCACTCTCTTGTACCCCCCATGCAGCTCTGAGCTGCTCTGGCAGAATCGCACAGACCTGCCGGGCTACCCGCACCACCCGCTGCGATTCGAAGCCAGCTGGCAAGGGTCAGTCTCCCACTCGACTAATGCATGATCATTGCCCACTCCCAGCCCTCTTTCAGCCCTCTCCCAGCCCACTTGCTGCCCTCCCCCTCTCCCTCTCCGTCTCTCTGCCCTCTCCTTCTCCCATTCCCTCCTCTCTCTCCTCTCCCCTCTCCCTCTTCCGTCTTCTTCTTCTTCTTCTTCTTCTTGCGATGCTTCCGTTTGTTCCCGCTGCCATTTCTCAATCGAAGCAATTTTGCCCGTTTCTTTCTCCAAGCCACCCTTGCTGTGGCATCTCAACTGTTTGGAGTTTGGCCCTTCCGTGTCTGCCGTTGCTTGCTGCATCCTGCACAAATACTTGTCTTGCCTGTTTCACAAGCCACATATGTGTTTCCCAATTCAAGTGACTCCTCCACATGCCATTTGTGCCACATTATGACGACTTTATCCTAACCCCGGTACCTTATCACTTTATGTGCCTGGTGCCTGTATTTCTGGTACATTGTTTGTGATATGTTGATATGGCCTGTACAAGCAGCCAATTGGAAGCCACGTTTTTAAGCCGATTGGTTCCGGATGCGAGCCATTTGGAGCCGCTAGCAAATGGATGCACGCAAGTGCTGGTGTGGCACCTTCATGTGGAGGCGAGTCGGCAACACATGTACCCCATTGGCTGGAGAGTGCCTCAGCCTGTTGACCTTGAGCCTGCAGATGAATATGACACATGGCGGTTTATTGTTGGCCGGCAAAGGCACCGAATTAGGGGCCTAGGCCCGAAGGACATGCCGTTTACTTACAGACCATAATGGAGATGGGCAGTTAGATTGGTGCCTTGCCTGATTGCAATGTTCCATTGGAAGTGGAGTTTATTTTGAGAATGCTTCATACATCAGCCTTTGAACTTTAGCGGCTAATATTCTTATAGCGGACTCGAAACGTCGAGGCTTCATCACCAGCGTAGGCCATTCCAGCGACAGCTCCCCTGGGCCCATCAGCACTCGTAACTGCACGTCACAAAAGCCATAATTGACGTGGCTCGTGCTCTGTGTGGTGAAATTTGAAATGATCCAGCTGGCGCCTCCCAAGGGTCTGCCGTCCACTCATGACTTCATCACAAACCGCGTTGGCAGCCGACACTGACAGTTCTGGGTGAATTGCTGAATATGCGCCGGTAATTCAGGAAGAACCGAGCCGTGATATATGCGAGCTTGAACCTTTCTAACAAAACCGTGTCGCGTCGCGTCACGTGTCACACACATTTGACACCAGCCCACTTGCACCATCCATAGACCCGCGCCGCGTGTCCAACATTTCCTTGGGGTGGGCCGCTGGCCTAAAGGATCATTCAATTTTCGTATTGCACCACGCAGAAACACACCGTACCGTGTTTAACCATGCAGTCTTTCCCGTGTTCCATCCCGCAGTCCGTAACGGGTCCAACCTTTCAGCGACAGCCTTCCCTTCCATCACAGACATGAAGCACTGGAACTGGTTTCGGCTTTGGCAAAACACCTCGCTCCTCTCCCACACACATCTGATGAGTTACACAGCGATCGTCACATCCTCTTTCCCAGGCAAAACATTGATGTGCTTCCGCTAGCCGGAAGCTGCGTTTCCAAACCTATCGAAGTCAGAGACTCCCTCTTTTCTCTACTTCTAGACTTCTCAGAAAGTGGCCCGGTCCCAAGTTAGACAGATCTAACGGCTTCAGATGGCATCCCGATTAGTTTATGAGGAGTGCTGATACGTAGTCTGCTCCAATTCCATTAGGCTGCTTGCTTTGTTTGCTTCTCGAAAGTTATATCGCACCTGCCAGAATGGAGCCAGTTTCGACACTCCGGCCTTTCAGCACGAGCAAGAAGAGCTCTGTTTTTGAACCTGGTCAGATGTGGGATGTTGGAGCAATGGTGCTAGGAGGCGTCGTTCCAGGGGTAGTACTTGTGAAGTGCGTGGCTGCTGTGGGAGCCATCGCGTTCTCGTCATGGTGTGCCGTGGTGGTCGTGGTTGCTGCTGGCCTCCAGCAAATACACAGTAAGTCGATATTGAAGGCTTACTACCGTTGACACAAATATGTGTGCCGAAGCGACCCTCGTGCTGCTCAATGTTCGTGAATAGCGTTAACCATGCTCCCTTTCTCCCCCTTTCCTTTCAGGTTTTGACGCTGACGGCTACGCTCAGCAAGATTACTAGTTAATGCTCACACGATGTAGGTTCACGCTCGCGAATTTTTCAAGGCATCGCGAGACTAACTCCTTGTAGACTTCATAGCTGAGGTGACGGCAGGCAACTGCTGCTCAAGCTCGGAGTTGCTTCACCATTTTTCCCCAGCCATTCACCTGTATAGTGGGTTCCACGCGGTACAGAGTTCAGTATTTGCTTAGGATATATCTGGCATGCGCTTGCCAGTCTGTATATGCCTTGGTGCTTTTAGCCTGTGCATAGTTATTTTACCCATGTTTGACACTGCTTCAACCTTGGTTGATGCTGCTGCTGCTGCATCAAGATTGCTGTTGAATGGGCTCTCTCAATGTCTCAATGGCTAGTGCCAGTAGCACTTTAATAACCTCTCTTCAACAGCAGATAAATGGCTGGTTGCTATTCCTAACGCCCATCATGTAATCAGGCTATTGGCAAACCTATTCACATGTATCTTGCCACTCCAGCAACAAGTCCCATAACTCAGGTACGGCGGATCCAACTTGCCACAATCCGAACCAACAATTTTGTGTGAATAAGAAAAGCAACTTCTCATCTCAAAATATCGTACCGTAACGCATTGCACCGTATCACGATTTCTCACCCATCCCACACACCCCTCGCCTTCGCCACGTTCCCTCACCCCCACCTCGCACCCCACCCCTTCGACTCGTATATGTTCTGCCTGAGCCTCCTATAATTCAGATTCCGCTTGAACCTTCTCAACGCTGTCCCATTGCTCCAATCCTCCCTCTGCTTGTTTCGCGTTCGGGGCGGGGTATAATGCATTCGGGTTCTTCTTCATGTCCCTTGATTCTCGCTGCTCTTACACAAGCCCTGTGGGGCAAGCAACTTGAAATGGCAGCCATGGTAGCCGCACACTCTCCTTCCGCAGTGACAGCCCCACGGTATTTCCATTTGCACCACCGAGCATCCTGTTCAACGTTCCTACAGGGTCATTCCCCCGTATCCACTTGCACTCCGCAGTTTAGACCAATTTCTACCGATTTTTAGCGGGATTTCCTCTACTTACCGGAATCTACTGTATTTCCCAGCAGCGCAAACAGCTCGATACGATGACATATCCTTAGCTCCTTTACGGGCCAGTGGGGTCTTCTTTCATGTAATTTCGAGCAACTGCGTGCGACTTCGTGCGACTTCATCCATGCAGCATGTAGGACGGCGGTCGCCTCTTGAGGGCTCTGATTGGAGACTGACATCGGTCGCAAGCAACTTATAAGCACCAAACTACAGCGCTGGAACCATCGATTACTAGATATTTGCGCTGGCCAATCCATCGAGTCTGAATCGCATCTTGGAATTCAGGAGCAGGCGACGGAGCGTGAAATAAACGAGGCATCGCTGAGAAACGCAAGACGCACCGTCATCGGCATCATTTCCGTTAAAACAAGCAAGGAACATCGTCATCAGCATCGTCATGGATCCTCCATCGAAGATCATTCCCGTCAGCTTGCGAATCGCGGAGATCGCTTTCGCAGTTGGCTCCATAGGGTGAGGCTTCGAACCTTGTCTCCTTTGCCTACTGTGAGTTCTAAGTCGACTCAAAGGCCACCTCGACTCAAGAATCTCGCGGTTGGCTCCATAGGTTGAAAACTTCGGACCTGGGGGTGGGTATTCGCCCTGTTCACAAAGCTAATTGCTCCATCATTCCCTCACCTCACCTACCTATTCCCTCACACCTCCCCACACCTCCTCACACCTCTTCACACCTCCTCACGTCACGCCTCCTCACCCAGCCTCACCCCTCTTCACCCCTCCCCACCCATCCGCATCAGGCTGTCAGTGAGGCTGGACGACCGAATGAGCCAAGCGCCAACGCTTCTGCTCAACCTCACCCTGGGAATGGCGGGGCTGTTCGCGAGCGCCATGTTACTGTGTTACATTCACACCTCCTGCTTCGTCTACCTCCACACGACCAGGGTGAACCTGCTGCTGCAGGTCATTGAGAGCAACGTGAGTCCATGTATCTATGTTTTCACGAGTTAAGGCTTGACGATATATGTAGTGTCTGTCTGCCACGTTCTGCCTCCACACGACCAGGGTGAACCTGCTGCTGCAGGTCATTGAAAGCAATGTGCGTGAGTCCGTGCATGCATTTTTAGGTTACAGGACGAGGAGACTCCAAATCTATGCATATTGTCTGTCTGCTTCGTCTACCTCCACACGACCAGGGTGAACCTGCTGCTGCATGCTGCTGCAGGTCATTGAAAGCAACGTGAGTCCATGCATGCATTTATATCTCACATGAGTCGCTACTCTGCTTCAATACTATACTGCGATGCCTGCTCCCACTGCTTCTTGCTGCTCCCACTGCTTCTTGCTGCTCTCACTGCCCTCCCTGCTTGTCCATCCACAGACCTTCCAGTTCGTGGTGCTTGCATTGCAGCAGCCACTGCACGGGCCACCATGACTTGTTACAACGCGACTCAACTTCCTCTCCTGCTCCCACTGCACTGCCTCCCCTGTTCGTCCCTCCTCAGATCTTCCAGCTCGTGGTGCTTGCATTGCAGCAGCCAGTGCACGGGCCACCATACGTTGAGTGCTCAAATCGCTACTGTCCTCCCTTGATGCCTGCTCTTTCGGCCTCCCCTACTCGTCCCTTGAGCCTCTGCAGATCTTCACACTCGTGGGGCGCACAGCAGCCAGTGCACGGCACGGCCCAGCCACCATGTTTTCAGGGTTCTTCGAAACGTGACTCACCTCCCTCTCTGCCTCTCTCTCTCCCTCCTGGTTGTGCCCCTGCAGTTCTTCACACTCGTGGTGCTCGCAGCAGTCAGTGCACGGGCCACCGCCATCACTGACTCGTATGGGCTTAACTGCAGCGGGTACGTGCTGCTGGTTGGTGCTGGGTGCTGCTGGGTGTTGCTGGGTACTGCCTGTGTCTAGTAGGACTTACAGGTATGGTACAGCATGGTACAGCAGGTGTCCACGCTGGTGGTGCTCGCTGCAGTCAGTGCACGGGCCACCGCCAGGTGCTGACTCGTATGGGCTTAACTGCAGCGGGTACGTGCTGCTCTGTGAGTGCTGATGGGTGCAGGGTGCTGCTATGTAGGTTTACCGCCATCACGGGTTCATACGGGCTTAACTGCAGCGGGTATGTGTGGCTGTGGGTGCTGCTGGGTGCAGCTCGGTACTGCTAGGTGATGCCGTGTCTAACAGGGCTGACATGCACGGGCTTAACTGCAGCGGGTATGTGATGGTGTGGGTGCTGATGGGTGCAGCTCGATGCTGCTGGGTGCTACGGGATGTTGCCGTGTCTATGGATGCTGATAGGTGTGGCACAGCAGGGCTGTCTACCTGCCGCAAACGCCCCACCTGTTGAATCCATTCGCCCTGGGTTTTTCAGTTCAGTTCAGCCAGCATAATCTCCTGCAAGCATCGCGCTCGAGGCCACTTTTGACTTTTGAGTCGACTCAAAAGTCAATGCTGAATCCATTCGCCCTGGGTTGTTCTGTTCAGTTCAGCCAGTCTATTCTCCTGCAAGCATCTCGCCCTTGACGACTTTTGAGAAAAACTTTTGAAATTTCTCTTTTGCGAATCACTTTTGAGAAATTTCTTTCAAGAATCACTTCTGAAAAATCTCTTTTGAGAATAAATTCTGAGAATTCTCTTTTGAGAATCACTTTTTTGAGAATTCTCAAGAGTTCAGCCAGCCTATTCTCCTATTCGCCCGGAACGGGACCACCACATACAACGACCACCTTTTCATGCAACGACCTTCTTCCCACGCAACGACCTTCTTCCCATGCCCTTTCTCACACTGCTCTTTCCCAGCCCGTCTTTAAGTGTATGGCCTCCTCCATTGCCCCCTCTTCTGATGCTGCCCAGAACCACGCTTACCTCTTTTACGCTGCCCCTTCCCATGCCGCCCCGCTCCATCCCAGGCCGCTCTTTCCCATGCCGCCCCTTCCCATGCCACACCTGGCGATGGCAACTGTTAGCACGCAGCCATGGTCCCCGGGTCGGCCAAATTCGTCTTCCTGCCTGATGGGGCGTGCCAGTGACCTGCTGGCATTGCTCACTGCGCTCTCCTTTGGGGCAGCCTGCTGGTGAGTCGGTGTAACGCACTGCACCGCACCACACAGCACAGTACAGCACTGCACCACGCCACACCTGTGTGGTGCCTGATGGGCCAGTGACCTGCTGGCGGTGCTCACAGCACTCTCCTTTGGGGCTGCCTGTTGGTGAGTCGTGCCCTTTACACGGCACGGCATTGCACAGCTCTGCTGTTTAGTGAGATGTGATGCTCGGTGTAATTCCCAGCACAGCACAGCACAGCACCGCACCGCACCGCAAAGCAGCACATCACAGCACAGCACAGCAGCACCGCACAGCACCGCGGAGCACTTGTAATGCCTGATGGGCCGCACCAGCCAGGCACCTGCTGGCCTTGCTCACAGCGCTCACCTTTGAGGCTGCCTATTGGCAAGGGAGATGCTCACCACACCGCATCGCACAGCACCGCACAGCACCGCATAAAACCACACCGCACAGAACAGAACAGCACTGCAACACCTGATGGGCCGCACCATCCAGCACCTGCTGTCGTTGCTCACAACGCTCTCCTTTGGGGCTGCCTACTGGTGAGTGAGATCCGCCGTTGGCTCTCAACTTCTCACATGCGCCGCGCAGCATTGTGTTGATTTTTGAGGCGTCTCAAAAGTCGCAGCATGTTGTGTTGTGCGTGTATTCGACTTCTCACATGCGCAACATGTTGTGTGTGTACGCTGCTGGTGAGTTGAGTCGTTGTAACCTCTACTGCTCTACAACCGCGCCATCTGTCTCTGAGACAACTCATAACAAGCCCGTATTCCTCCCAGCCCCTTTTCCCCCTTTCCTCCTCCACATGGCACCACACCATGTTCTCTCATATTTTTCACCATCGGTCTCTATATGCTGCCTGCACCAGTTGTTGTGCCTGCCTGCCCCAGTTGTATCTGCCTGCACCAGTTGTACCTGCCTCCCTCTCTTTCCATGTGCCTCATTCTCCCCCCCCTCCCCATGGCACCACCACATGTGCTTGCAGGTATTTCGCGATATGCCTCTACCGGCTGTGCCCTCCACCAGTTGTACCTGCTTTCTTTCTGTCACGGTCCTCCCTCCCGTTCTTTCCCCTATTCCCTCGCTTTCAGGTACTTCGCACTATGCCTCTACAGGCTGCGCCCTCCACCAGTTGTACCTTCCTCGGGGAAGAAAAGCGTTAGAAGGGCTGTCACCAGAGGTGGTGGAAAGGGCTCGGTTGAGAGTTCTGAAAGGGCGCCTTCCGAGAGTGAAGGGAGAAGAATCGTTCAAACGATGTTCACTGGAGATAGTGGGGAGAGGTCAGTGGTAAGTGTTGAGAGGCCGTGCGTTGAGAGTGATAAAAGAGGAGGGGTTCAAACGGTGTTCAGTGGCGATGTGAGGAGTTTGATTGTACATGTTGATACGGTGGCACCAGGAAACACTGAAAGGCTTTCAGATGGAGATAATGAAAGGGAAGAAGTTGGGGATATTGGTACGGCAGCAGGTGTGGATATTGAAAGGGCAACAGTTGCAGATATTGAAGCGGCAGCAGCTGGGGATATCAGCATAGCAGCAGTTGAGGATACTGGAAGGGCAGCAGTTGGGAATATCGATGTAGCGGCAGGTGTGGAGAAAAGGGCAGCAATTGGGGATAGTGAAAGAGCGGCAGTTTGTGATATTGAAGGGGCAGCAACTGGGGATATTGAAAGTGGAGCAGGTGAGGTCGTTGAAAGGGCAGTGGGAGGGGAGATTGTGATTGCAGCAGACGTTGACATTGAAAGGTCAGCAGCTGGGAAGATTGAAAGGTCAGCAGCTGGGGATATTGAAGGGGTGACGGTTGGAGATACTGAAAGGAGGTCAGCAGATGGGGATATTGAAGGGGTGACGGTTCGAGATACTGAAAGGAGGTCAGCAGATGGGGACACGGTTAGGCCAGCAGAAGTTGACTCTGTAACGGTGCCAGCTGGAGACATTGAGAAGGGGTTCCCTGTGTAAGCATTATATTGACAGTGTGAAGGGAAAAGAGTGGGGGAGAGGGAAGGTGTGGGGGGATGGGAGGGGGGGAAATGGGGAAGGGTGTAATTTCAGATTGTTGGTGCCATATAATTGAAGTTTGATGTGGAAGGGTTCATAAGGTGCCTAGCAGTTCAACTTGTATTAGCTCATCACATGTGAAAATTGGGTTTAAAAAGATATTGTGCAATCAAGAGGGGTTTGCCCTCTTTACCGCTTTGAACCGTTGCATACCAGCCTGAATATTGTTACGTGAGTAAACAAACTATGGCTGACCCGCACTCTTCTCATACTGTCATGGTGTTGAGTCGGGTCGCGTCACGTCGCCACCTCACCCGCCTCCCTCATCTTCCCTGACTTGGCGTAACTCAGGAATTTTCTTGCTCCGTTGCACACAAGTCAGTACCGTCTACAGGAGGAAAATATAAAACCATGAATCATCCGCGAAGCATGAGGCAGCAAGCATTTAGTGGCGTGACGCGTGGTCGAAAGTTTGTCGGCGCGTGCTGCCAGCGAGGGTTCAACTTGAAAAGAAAATGAAGGAAGCAAGAGCAGGAAGGATGGGCTCATTCGTTCGCACGCTGGCTTCCTCGTTCGTTCTCATGCATCGAAATCAAGAATGCTTCTGCTCTGAGTGCCTGTTGCGTCACCTGCGTATATCACGCACAATCACACCTCACGCTGGAGAACCGTACAGAACCGTACTACGATACGGCGCAGAATACATCCCCTCATCTCGTATCACGCGACGGAACCAGCTAGTTTGAGCGGGCGGCTTCCGCCTTGCCTTGCTGCTCCACGTGGCGAGAGCCTGCTCCGGGACTGAGTCAGTCTGTCTTACGAATCGTCGTATGGAGAGTGATTGTGATACAGGCCCCATCCTGGGTGGGCATCGACGGACGGCGCGAGAGTACAGTACACAGCGATACAGGCGCTGCGCGCTGGCGCTTTCGTCTAGGCCGTTTTCTTTTCAAGAAGAAAAGGCTTCTCAGACAAGAAAGGGGGCTTCCCAGCTTCTCAGCTTCTCAGTTCTTGGATGCAATGGAATGCCGCTCCTATTACCTTCCCACATATTGCACCTCTTTTGCGACTATTCCGCTAGCCAGAAATCTGATGGGTCACACTTCAGTGCGTCCCTAGAGCTCTGAGCTCCGTCACGCACCGTCAGTCACTCTCCGCTCCATCCGTGCGACCGTAAACGACGCCCATCGCTGCGACATCATCGCAACAACCGTAATCATGGCTTCTTCCGTCTCGCCGCCGCCGCCGCCGCCGTCGCGGCGCCTCACTTTCCAGAAAGTGCTGCTCGCGGCGCTCGCGGCACTCCCCGCGCTCATGCTGCTCCTCCTCGCAAGCCTCTTCGCGGCGCATCTCGCACCTCGCGCGGCAGGTGAACGGCCGTTTCCCGAGCCCCTCGCTGTAGTCACATCTGCCGAGCTGAGCTCCTCCGTGGCGCCCGTTACGAGCACGTCGTCGTTTCTCACGAGCGTGCGGCGGCAGGTCCTCCGGTTCGAGCGGTTTAACTGCGACCGCTCGCGGCTCAAGGGGTACACATCTTCTAAGCTCCTCTCTTCTCGGTGAGCGATCTGATCTAGTGGCGCCTAAGACGGGGATGCGATGTCTCAGAATGAGGATGAGGTGTCTCGAAATGGGGATGAGGTGTCTCGAAATGGGGATGAGGTGTCTCAAAATGGGGATGAGGTGTCTCGAAATGGGGATGAGGTGTCTCGAAATGGGGATGAGCGATCTAATCATTACAGGGATGCGATGTCTCAAAATAAGGATGGGGTGTCTCGAAATGGGGATGAGACGTTTCAAAACAAGAATGAGACGCCACAACACAGGGATGAGATGTCTCAAAATGTGGATGAGACGTCTCAAAACGGGGATGAGACGCCTCAAACAAAACGGGAATGAAACATCTCAAAACATCGTTATGTGGGATGTTTCCATGGTGGGGAGGAGGGGGGGAGGGGGGTGAGAGGGCGGGGGGTTAGGGGGGGGAGAGGGGGGGTGAGTGAGAGGGGGGTTGAGTGAGAGGGGGGAGGGGGCGGAGGGAGGGGTGTGAGAGGGGGGGTTGGCTGCAGGGTTGCTTACCAAAAGGGAGGGTGAGAGAGAGAGGTGGTTGGCTGCAGGGTGGCCTACTAAGGGGTTCAAAAACATCGTTTTGTACCCCACACGCTTTTGCACCCTACCCTGTCCCCACCAGCCCCTCCTCCAGCCTTGTTCTCCATTGGAAGGCCACGAGGGGGCGCAAAGTGAAAATCGCACTGGTGGCCGTAGGAACATTTGCGGGGGGTTGGTTCGCCATGGGGTGGTCTCCCACGGGGCACATGAAGGGCAGCAACGCAGTGGTTATGGAGGATGCTAGTAAACCTCCTGTCACATACAACCTACACGGCCCTTATAACTGGTTATATGGATTCGCAGACCGTGCGTTATGGTCCGTCGGATCGCCATCAATCTCGAGCGCTGGCGGCGAGGTCACGATGAAGTGAGTGCTCTCTTGAGTGTTGGGTGCTCAAAATAAGAGCTATTGCTGTGTGCATGCAAGGGCTTCATGGCAACGTGTTGCGACAATACATGCAGCCTTGAGTGACCATCCCATTTCAAACCAGGCCAGTGCGGAACCACCCGATTGCTGAACCTCCCACTGCCGAACCAACACAGTGCCGAACCAACCCAGTGCCGAACCAACCCAGTGCCAAACCACCCCACTACTGAATCACCCCAGTACTGAACCACCCCACTGTCGAACCACCCTACTGCCGAACCACCCCACTGCCGAACCACCGCATCGCCAAACCAACCACTATCGAACCAAACTACTTCCGCACCAACCTATTGTCAAACCAACCCACAGCCAACCATCCCAAAGCCGAACCACCCCACTGTCGAACCAATTAGTGCCAAACCAGCCTACTGAAGAACCATTCTACATCAACTTCGAAAGGGGCTCTAATGTTTGACATGGACGTTGTTGCTAAGGTAGTGAAAGATGTTGAATGCGTTTAGTTCTTTCCTTCACACCTGTTTGTGGGTGTTGGTGAAATGGAGGCATGGTGGGTCTGTGAAGGTTCGTCCTAGTTGGAACAACAACATTGTGTGGGCATTTGGAGGAGGCAATTTGTTGTGCTACCACACAGCCAGGTAAGCTCTTCACCTTGTCGTATGGGCTGTGTATCTTTTTGTGGCATTGTTCCTCCATTTGAGATGATGCATTCCTTCTTGGAGCTATTATTGATGGTATTTGATTCTTGCCCCATTCTTGGTGGTCCTTGTGTGTAGTGGGAATGTGGTCGTGAATTTCGCATGTGGGTGCCCTCTATTTAAAAACTGCTGATGTACATAATCTCAACGTACCAGCATCGTCCGAATATAAGATAGTATCAAAGTGAAGGCGGGGGTGTCTTTAGTCGGAGTGGTTTCTTATAAATAAATGTTTTGGTTATGATAGACCCATGTGTATGTATGAGTATTGAAATAAATGTCATACAAATTGTTAAGAGTTGAAGGCTTTCTTCTAAACAGGAGGGTATGTTAAAACAGGAATGCAAAATAGTGAACCTGGGGCCATCTTTGAAGAATGCTTGCAGAACGAAAGAATCTATCCAACCAAAGTGACAAGTATGCACTGTTTCGAATTGAGTGGTTAGGGTGTGTCTCTCAAATGTTGTAGTCTTAGTGAGATGTGTTATAGGGGGTACAACTGTTAGGGTTAGGCTTATGTACCCCAACCAACCTTAGTCAAACCAACACTTTCATTCTTGACATGGTATCACCTACGTTAGGATCCCGTGGGATCCCGCTAGAGATTCTCGCGCTTGTTGCACATAGTCTACCGTTCTCACTGTGCCTGTTTCGTCCCGTAGCGCCCGTTGTGGCCGTCCGTACCTCTTGTAGTGCCTTTAGCGCTTATCGCGTCCCCTGCCCGTCGCGTCGCGTCCCCTGCCCGTCCCGTCCTCTGCCCGTCCCGTCCCCTGCCCGTTACGTCGTGTTCTATGCGCGTAGCGTTGCCCGTCCCGTCCCTTGCCCGTCGCGTCGCATTCCCTGCGTTTCGCGTTGCCTGTCCCGTCCCCTGCCCGTCTTGTCACGTCCCATGTGCGTCGCGCAGCCCGTCCCATCCCTTGCCCGTCGCGTCTCGTCCCCCTCTCCCGTCGAGTCGCCCTCAGCCCGACGCGTCGCGCCCTGCTGTCCCGTCGAGTCGCGCCCTACTTGTCCCGTCGCGTCGCGCCCTGCTGTCCCGTCGCGCCGCGCCCTGCTGTCCCGTCGCGCCGCGCCTTCCGCTCAGCCTGTTGCGCCCTGCTCGGACCCTCTAGGCGTTTAGAGTTTCGGCAGCAACAATTTCCGCCTCTACGCTTCCGCTATGGCGACCCCTAGGGTCTTGCGCTTCGACGCTGAGGGTAGGTCACTCGAGTTCTCGGTCTGGCTCCTGCGTGCACGCCGCCTCCTAGGGAGCCAGGTCCAGGCACACGAGACTCTGTGGGCGCACGCTTCCGGTGACCTTCCTGAGCCCGCTGACCCTGAACCCTTAGCAGCCGACCCCACACCTCCAGACGGAGACTATTGTGCACGCAAGCGTGCTAACGTGACCGCGTGGAAGTCGCGTGACGCTGCGGCCTGCATCGCCCTCAGCAGCCTCCTCCCTGAGTCTGAGGAGACTTACTTCACTCACGTTCGCACTGCTACCGAGTTCCTGATTGCGATCAAGGCCCACTACGCTACTCCCACTACTGTCTCTCTTGGCCGCCTTTTCCTCCCGTTCCTGTTCCCTGACCTCGCCTCGTTTGAGCGCTCTGCTGACTTGATCGCTCACCTGTGCTCGCTCGATTCCAGCTTCCGCGCTGCCTGTACTGACGAACAACTTGCACGGCTCCCTCCCCCTATGGTGATTACTATATTTTTCATTGCCACCAGCCTCCCTGACCACCTTACCTCGGTTCGTGACGCGCTTCTTCTGAAGCACCCTAGCGAGCTCACTA